AAATAAATAAAAAGAAAGAAAGAACGGTCTATCTAAAGGAAAATGGGAAAAATAATAACTGGGAAATAGAAGTACCAACAGATAAATTGAATAATTAAAAGTCAAACTGTTAACAATGTAAGTAGAAAAAAGTATTTTGAAAGGTTATCAAAACTGATGTGATTTCTATAAAAGTAACTGCAGAAAACATCCTGGGAATTGTCCAAGAAACATCTTACTTATCCTGGGGAATTAATGATGTTTTTCAAATGTCAAATGGCCATTCCTCATGTTCTGCCTGTGATTTTTGCCTGAGGTTTGCGTAGTTGCCCTACTCTGCACGTGGGAACAAGTGGAACCTGTGCTTAATGGCATGAGTAGGCTGCCTTTATTAAAAGTGAAGGAAGATTCCAGCTAGCGGGAGGCTGGAGCAATGATCCAGGGCGCTTGGTGCTCTCTGCTGCCCTCTGCAGATGAAAACGGGAAGGGCGGGTCTGAACAGTGCCCCCTGGGGGTTGAGGACGGCGTCGCTCTCGCTGAGCCGAGGAAAATACAGGGAATATGAATAGACTTTACATTCACCAGGAAGGCAGTACCTTAAACAGATGAGGAGGGCAACCTGTGTGCTCCTAAATCTCCACAGAGTACACACTCACACCCAGAAAACAGCCAATTTCATAGTTCTTTACTGTGAGATGCACTTTAAAATTTGCTCAAGCTTTGTTCATCTAAGATTTAGACAATGACTACTGATTAAAAAAGAATCAACTAAAGATCAAAAGGTGCTTAATATGACAGCATTGATTTTTATATTAAAAAAATTTCAAGAATATGATTCGAATTCACCAGATGCTCTCCTGGAGAAGGAGGGGCAATCTCCTCCTGTATCAGTCTGATCTGATTTGACGGTACACACACAAAATAATAAAATTTAAAAAAATATTAAAGAATAGAAATGGAGGAAGGATGGTTAATAATGTCTCTATGCAACCCAGTGCCAACAACCTGCCGGGAAGCATCCCTTTATTTTTGCCTTCATGCAGCCCACCCACAAGCTCTCAAACTATGCCAGTGCTCAAATATTCTATCAGGCACTGAGCTAAAAGACAAAAAGATACAGACACAGCCCAGAAGGTCCTTGGTAGATCCCAGAAGGCCCAGTGTGAATATTTCAGCACCTCGCCTAGTGCCTGACACCTGGCAAGGCAGGCTAAAGAAATTAGTCAAAAAGCTGAGTTGCAGGGAGAAAGTGCTATAGGTTTGGAGTCTCTGTCTAGTAAGATCTAGGGGGGCTTCTTAGAGATGGTGGTCCTGGTCTACAAACAGACACCAGTGGGAGGTGGGTATTGGCCTCTGTGAGCCATACTTCCTGACAGAGAAAGAGCAGCTCTGGTGTGTATACTTCAAGCTGAGCAGAACTTCTTGTTGGGAGATAGGATCCCAGGGCTGATATCTAGGGTTCCAACAGCATATAACCACTCACCATGGTCCTCCATTTCTGAGAAGCCTTCCGTTTCTGGGTGTTCTTGTCTTGCAGGTCAAGGGAGACATCTATGGTCACTCCTGATGGATGGCAGTGTGATCTGTGGAGAGAAGCAAAAGGCTATGGTGGGTGAAAACTATGAGGGGGAAGAGAGGCTTCCCATCTTCTAGATCCACCAGAGATGGTCTTGTTCCCCTCTCCCCCCCACCCCCTGCCCCGATCCAGGCTCTAAGTCTTTCAGCACTGCTGATTCCCTGAGCTGCTGGCAAATAAGGGTCTGATCCTGGGTCCAAGGCACTTTCCCTCCCAGAATACCCCAGGTCTACATATCTGCATACAGTGTTCACCTGTGGATGCAATGATGGTTTCTTGTACACAGTTCTGGCATACACTCTGGGAGAATTCTCTTTTTGAGTCTGTCTCATGTCCCTTTTAGAAATGATGATAATTTCTCAAATTCCTTCTGTGGGGATAGTATTTTTTCTCAAGTCTGCTGCCTGGCTCATTAGATTCACTTTAGTTCTGAATAAAATAATCAAATCGGTATTTAACTCTCTGCTTTTGGTGCACACTTAATTGAGCTCATGCAAAACCTATACATAGACCAAGAATCAGTCGTCTGAAAAGAACAAGGAAACACTGCACAATTCAAAATTAAGAAAGATGAGTTAGGGTTGTATCCTCTCTAGACCTGTTCAATATGTAAGCTGAGCAAAGCATTTGAGAACTGGACTATATGAAGAAAAGGATGTCATTGGGATTGGAGGGAGACTCAGCAATAGCCTCTAGTATACAGATGGAACAACCTTATTTGCAAAAAGTGAAGAAGAATTAAATCACTTACTGTAGATCAAAGACTATAGCCTTCAATATGGATTACATATCAACATCAGGAAAATAAAGATCCTCATCACTGGATCTATAGACAACATCTTGATAGTTAAGAGGAAAACAATTGAAGATTTCATTTTATTTAGATCCACAATCAGCATCCATGGAAGCAGCAGTTAAAAAATCAAAAGACATGTTCAATTAGGAAAATGTACTGTCAAGGACCTTTCTGAACTGTTAAAGAGCAAAGATGTCAGTTTAAAGACATCTAAGGTGGGCCTGATCTAAGCCATGGTATTTTCAATTGCTTCCTATACATCTGAAAGTTTGATAATGAATAAAGAAGATAGAATAAAACTAGATGTCTTTGAACTGTCAGAGAAGAGTATCTTTTGGACTGTCAAAAGAAAAAAAAACATCACCAAATCTCTCTTGGAGGAAGTGCAGTCAGAGTGTTTCTGGAAGCAAGGACTCTGAGCATGTTGTCAGGAGACTCTAGTCCTTGAAAAAAGACATTAAGCTGGGAGAGGTAGAGGGTCAGAGAAAAAAGGAAGATCCTCAACCAGACAGATTGACACAATGACTATAACAATGGACTTGAGCATGTCAGAGACTGTGAGGATGGTTAAGCTAGGACCTTTTTGATCAGACGCTCATAGTCTTGTTATGAGTTGTAGTCATCTTGATGGCACAAAACAACAACAGTAACAAGATTGGTCAGTCCTGCCATCCCACAAGGCTTAACTTGAGCAGGTGTAGAGGCAGAAGATGAGAATCTTTCTACTAGTAAGAAAGAAGCAGAGACTGCAGTATACTTCCTCCAGGGCCAGGGATTCCTGCACCAGACGGAGGCAGACCGTGGTGACTGAAATACTGTAGCAGCAGGGGAGAACAGAGAAACAGAGAAGCAGAGCTGATCTGGGACTGCTGCCCCATGGAGCCAGAGCCTGGGGCCTGAGGACTGAGGGTGGCTGCGAGGAAGCTGAGGCAAGATGTCATAATTTGTCCACTAAGAGAGCTCTGGAACACTGAAAATCACAAGCTGTCCTGACTGAAGAACTGCAACCTGTTTCCAAACGAAACTGTAGCCTTTTAACATCCCCAATAAACCTCAGACTCAGGAGCACTACACTCCATCCTTGCCTCTAAGGAGCATTCTGGTTGCCCCACTTCCGAGTCAGATTTGCTTGTTCTTTTGACTGACTATGCTGTAGTCAGTATTCTTTGTCAGTACTACAATTCAAAGGTATCAATTCTGCGTTGGTCTGCCTTATTCATTGCCTACCACTCAGGTATCAGTTTGCCATGAGGTGGTGGCTTGGAGCGCTGCTGTGATGCTGGAGGCTGAGCCACGAAATATTTCAAACCAGCAGGTTTCAGAGGATCTTCCAAACGAAGAGAGACAAAGAAGTAAGACTGGGAATCCACTTGTGATACGATGGGCTTTTTTTTTTTTATTATTTATATGTGTGTGTGTGTGTGTGTGTGTGTGTGTGTG